GTTTTTGCCACTGATGAAGATGCAAGGCTTGGTATGATGCGCACAGGTGGTACAATTAAAGGGTCAAAAGTAACACTATTGTTGAGTAGTAAAACGGAAATGCAGAATATGATTGAACTGAGTCGTAGGCGTTTTGAAACTGCCAACTTAGATATACCACCAGCAAATGCCAGTAGATCAGGACCACCACCTAGCTCAGGAATGAGTGGCAGGGTGAACTTGCCCACAACAGTATCCAACTTTAACAGTCCTTCGCCCAGTGTAGTTACTGCCACCACTTCTGTTCATGAAAGCAACAAAAACATACAGACATTTTCCACAGCCAGCATAGGAACAGCTCCTCCAAATATGGGGGCTTCCTTTGGGAGCCCGACGTTTAGCTCAACCGTTCCAAGCACAGCCTCTCCAATGAACACAGTCCCGCCGCCACCAATTCCTCCAATTCCAGCGATGCCATCTCTGCCACCAATGCCATCCATTCCCCCAATTCCAGTTCCTCCTCCAGTACCTACATTGCCTCCTGTGCCTCCTGTGCCCCCGATTCCCCCAGTTCCTTCCGTGCCACCCATGACCCCACTGCCACCCATGTCTGGTATGCCACCCTTGAATCCGCCACCTGTGGCACCTCTACCTGCTGGAATGAATGGCTCTGGAGCACCTATGAATTTGAACAATAACCTGAACCCTATGTTTCTTGGTCCATTAAATCCTGTTAACCCTATCCAGATGAACTCTCAGAGCAGTGTGAAGCCACTTCCCATCAACCCTGATGATCTGTATGTCAGTGTGCATGGAATGCCCTTTTCTGCAATGGAAAATGATGTCAGAGATTTTTTCCATGGGCTCCGTGTTGATGCAGTACATTTGTTGAAAGATCATGTAGGTCGAAATAATGGGAATGGATTGGTTAAGTTTCTCTCCCCTCAAGATACATTTGAAGCTTTGAAACGAAACCGAATGCTGATGATTCAACGCTATGTGGAAGTTAGCCCTGCCACAGAGAGACAGTGGGTAGCTGCTGGAGGCCATATCACTTTTAAGCAAAATATGGGACCTTCTGGACCAGCTCATCCCCCTCCTCAGACACTTCCCAGGTCAAAATCGCCCAGTGGGCAGAAAAGATCAAGGTCAAGATCACCACATGAGGCTGGTTTTTGTGTTTACTTGAAAGGGCTACCATTTGAAGCAGAAAACAAACATGTCATTGATTTTTTTAAAAAGCTGGATATTGTGGAAGATAGCATTTATATAGCTTATGGACCCAATGGGAAAGCAACTGGTGAAGGCTTTGTAGAGTTCAGAAATGAGGCTGACTATAAGGCTGCTCTTTGTCGTCATAAACAGTACATGGGCAATCGCTTTATTCAAGTTCATCCAATAACTAAGAAAGGTATGCTAGAAAAGATAGATATGATTCGAAAAAGACTGCAGAACTTCAGCTATGACCAGAGGGAAATGATACTAAATCCAGAGGGTGATGTCAACTCTGCCAAAGTCTGTGCCCACATAACAAATATTCCATTCAGCATTACCAAGATGGATGTTCTTCAGTTCCTAGAAGGAATCCCAGTGGATGAAAATGCTGTACATGTTCTTGTTGATAACAATGGGCAAGGTCTAGGACAGGCATTGGTTCAGTTTAAAAATGAAGATGATGCACGTAAGTCTGAACGCTTACATCGTAAAAAACTTAATGGGAGAGAAGCTTTTGTTCATGTAGTTACCCTAGAAGATATGAGAGAGATTGAGAAAAATCCCCCTGCCCAAGGAAAAAAGGGATTAAAGATGCCTGTGCCAGGTAATCCTGCTGTTCCAGGAATGCCCAGTGCGGGACTGCCCGGTGTGGGACTGCCCAGTGCGGGACTTCCCAGTGCGGGCCTGCCCAGTGCAGGACTGCCTGGTACGGCAATAACCGGCGCAGGACTGCCTGGTGCGGGAATACCCAGTGCAGGAATACCTAGTGCAGGAGGTGAAGAGCATGCCTTCCTGACTGTAGGATCAAAGGAAGCCAACAATGGGCCTCCATTTAACTTTCCTGGTAATTTTGGTGGATCAAATGCCTTTGGGCCACCAATCCCTCCTCCAGGATTAGGAGGGGCCTTTGGTGATGCTAGGCCTGGTATGCCTTCAGTTGGAAACAGTGGTTTGCCTGGTCTAGGATTGGATGTTCCGGGTTTTGGAGGTGGACCAAACAACTTGGGTGGGCCATCGGGATTTGGAGGGGGCCCTCAGAATTTTGGAAATGGCCCTGGTAACTTAGGCGGTTCCCCTGGCTTTGGAAGTGGCCCTCCGAGTCTTGGAAATGCCCCTGGGCATTTGAGTGGGCCACCAGCTTTTGGGCCTGGGCCTGGCCCTGGCCCAATCCATATTGGCCGTCCCCCTGGCTTTGTAGCTAGTTCTGGAAAACCAGGACCAACAGTAATGAAAGTGCAGAACATGCCCTTTACTGTGTCTATTGATGAGATTTTAGATTTCTTTTATGGCTATCAAGTAATCCCAGGCTCAGTGTGTTTAAAGTACAATGAAAAAGGTATGCCCACAGGTGAAGCCATGGTGGCCTTTGAGTCTCGGGATGAAGCCACAGCTGCTGTCATTGACTTAAATGACAGGCCTATAGGTTCCAGAAAAGTAAAACTTGTATTAGGGTAGCCATTCACATCATTCTTCATAGGGTAGATCTTCATATTGCTGTGATTAATGCATCCAGATTGTTTTCCTAGTATTTCCAGGTTAGAACCTGTGGATTGTTTCAATTGCATATAGCTTGGTTTCCATAACATAGAGCATTGGTTGACTGTTTACAGAAGACCCACTCACCAGGATAAACATTGCTGTATGTTACAGTAAAGCTATCTGGAGAGAACACGTGAATGATTTTGGCATACCATAGAGAAACCATTTGTAAAACTCAAATGACCACATAAAGCTTATCAAGGAGTCTAGATTGGTCTTGTTTTATACCACATGGGATGATGAAAATAGAAATGTCAGTAGAACTCATTGAGGGTGCTCTTGCCAGCTGCTGAAAAATAGAAGTTGGCTACTCTCAGAATTTGGTTTAAAGCTGGACAGATTTACTTTGTTATAGGGTAAAGCTTTGTCTAAAGTCCTCATTTTCTTTTAAAACTGAATAAAATTTCTGTATACAGATTCATTGTATGTACCTTTATTGCTTCTTGAGGGTCCTTGCTGTATAGACAGTCCTGCTTCAGAAGTTGCTGCTTTGTTTGTCTAATTGACTCATTTGTAAATGAGCAGAACTGTTTTGTTGTTCTTTTTTTCCTAAATATGAAAGTCCACACTTGGTTTGTGCTATAACCTCGAACTTTGATTTCCAATGTCACACTTAAAACTGTGTGGAATAAGACTTTTGCCATAAAAATAAACTATGGAGTCCTTTACCTACCAGAGCCTTTTTGGTTTGACTACCATGTTTCAGGATAGTCAGTTTAAAAATTGTTCATGTTGTTTGGATGGTATCAAAACCCAGAAACCACTTTTAATAATGTGTTTAAGATACTTGAAGTCCTATCCATGATAGACTAATTGTACTATCAATTTTCTCCTGTCCCAATTTATGTGAAATTTTGGCCTTTAGGTAAAAAGAGGGGCCCATTCATAGGAAAGAGTATTATATCTAGGTTTTTAAAACTGAATTTGAAATTATCTTTGTTAGCAATAGTATTATAGAATAAAAGATCCATATGCTGGTTCATAGATTGATATGTGTTTAGTCCTGTTATTTGGAGGCTTTTTGTTACAGTTGTTCGATCAGGGGCCTGTTTACTAAAATCCTTCATACAGAGTACAAGTGCAGCTGCCAGAGGGGAGAAATTGACATTCTTGACCCTTTCATACTCTCCTCTTTGGTGTACAGGACACTAAGGCAGGAGGACCACATGAGTTCTGGTTGGTTAAGTGTCCTTCTCATGGAAACACTTGCCTTACAAGGCTCTAATTATGCTTACTTTCCCTAGTCAGTGCTCTAAAGATGTGTCACATTTTATTATAAACAATGCAGAAGGGGAGATACGTGAGATGGTATGAAAAACACATTTTCTCACTGTCATAAAAGGCTCTAATTATGGTTAGTTTCCCTAGTGAAAATGCTCTGAAGATATGTCACATTATATTATAAACAATACAGAAGGGGAGATAGGTGAGATACCATGAAAGACAATTTATCTTTTAATGGCCCCTTGCCTTGATTTGAAACATTCCCAACATTTCCTACAAATCAGTGTACTTAGCAAAGGGGTCAGTCTTTTAAAATATTTCCTATTAAAATATATACATATATATACAGTGCCTTTTTGGTGTTGGGAGTCAGTGGAACACTGAAATAACAGAGGTCGTGTAATTTAGAGTTAAGAGTGGCAACAGTTTCTTTTGATAAGATTTGGAAAGGCTTTTTATCACTACAATCTTAGAGGATTGACAGTACAGGATTTTTGTTTTAAGGGAAGGATTGTTTAGACTCAAGAAGAGGTGACTGCGTTGTGGGTCTTTGGATAATTCATGAATACAAATTTGCTTTGACAGATCACTAGATACTGCCTCCTCAGCTTAAAAAGCAATATAACATTTGTATATGCTGTTTAAGTTTCTGTTAAGTAATCATTTATCATTCCAAAGACAATGCAAAAAAACTTCAGCACTGCTTGAGAGTCATATTTCAACCACAGATATTTTCCCCATTGGAAAGCTATTTTCATTTTAGAAAAATGGGTTGTTTGAAGATGAAAGTCTTTTATCTTTTTTCACAATTTATTTTGGTTATATGTTCGTACATTCTTATTAAATATTTCATACACTTTATTGCAACTACTTTGTTATTTAACTACATCTTAGATAAATGCTGAAAAGGGAAACTTGATTTCATTGTTCATCTAATTAAATAAATTAAGAGCGGTTTGTGTAGAAATTGGAGAGATCTATGTTTTATATGAATCACAACAGTGCTCGTTGTGGAATGTATTAAATGCTTTGCCCTCTGGAACTTGATTTTTGTGTATCTGAGACTTATTAACAGTGCTAACTGCTGAGGATACTGTTTACCTTGTTCTGGGCGTTAGAGTTTCCGTTTTTAAAAAATTCTTGAAAATGTATTCTGTGAAACTATTCATACCTCTCTTACTGCGAATTTTCTCCTAAGAACTAGGTTTGGGGTAGGAATGAATTTACATTATTTTCTCATTTGCTTTGTATGGTATGAAGGATTTGTAAAGCTTTGCTCAAAGTTGTGTGCATTTGTAAACCTATCATGATATTTTCAATTTTATGTGTAAATTTTATTGTCTGTTTTTGGTGATTCCGACATTAATGGAAGAGAATATTTTCCATTAGGTTTAATTTTTTTTTTCCTCTCCCTTCTGATTTTTTTAAAATTGGTGTTCATTTTTCTTTTGATTTAAAGGATTAGAGAAATCTACAAATGTATGTCACAAATAAGCAAATTTGTAAATTTTTCTGAACTTTAGTGAAACATTTAGTTCACAAGCATAATTTGGAGGTGTGTTCTGTGTTTACACTGTAGCTTGGATATACAATTATTATTAGTGGCTTTTTAAAAAATGAAACAGTGTTAAGTGAAATGTAGATCCTAGCTTTGTACTCCAAGTTGTCAAAGCATCAACAATGAAAATTCCATTAGGAAACTTTTTATTTAAAATTTAAGATAGTAATTAATATTCAATGTAGTTAAGAGCAGTCTTAACCCACTGGATGAAAATCTAGGACTATGTGGAAGTAAGCAAACATATACATTTTTAGGTGGAAAGAGTCAATCATGCATAAAAATAAGGATGCGTGAAAGCCTTAAACTCCAGCTCCCTTTTACTGGAGTCTGTGATTGTGTACAGATATGAGTCAAGTGTGTAAAAATCTCATCAATTTTAAGAACACTCGGGAAATGAGAAAAGAAATGTAAAATTGCTGCTAGTCAAATTTTTTGGAAAGAATTTCTGGAAGTGGTCACTTTAAAAATTATTTTCCACCCTTGCAAAATTGCCACATTTAAATTGTTTTACTGGCAGTTCTATAGTAGTCCAGACTTTAGAAACCAAACACAATAAAATGGCTTGTTGCCAATATGGCCACAACATTGCCAACAAATACTGCCTTAGCATCATTCAGCAGAGGTTTTTGTTTATAAAGATGAAGTCTTGAATACTGTTCAATAAACTTGTCAAAAAATAAAACAGGCTGATGCTTTTAATGCTTTAACTGCACAAAAGTACTTAATTGAGCTATAATAATCTTGTCAGGGCTTTTTTTTTTTTAACTCTTGAAAATATTTTGTGCCTTTGGAAAGGTAGATTTGGTCTTCTTGGAGAAGTAAAAATTGTTGCTTATCCTTGCCTGCTAATTCTGAAGTGTCAAGAGAAGAGGATACTTGGAACGGCAGGGAGGAAAGTTGATTCTAGTTCAAGTCCATAGTATCTACCTTTTCAGAATTTTATGTGTGTGATATGTTGGCAAACAAAGCCCTTAAAAATGTTGAAAACCTTTTATCTTGAGAGAGTTTAGCTTGTATTAGAATTTGGATACCCAGTTTTAGAGGGTGTCAGACACATAATTCCAGGTAGTAGCCGAGCCATTATTAAATAGTCAAGGTTTGACTAAGCCATGGACAAATCACTGAGTGAAATCGGCTGCCTATGGCCTTTACTTTCTGAAAGGGCTGGACTGTGTGATAATATGTCATCTTTTCTTGTTCAGGAGAGATCAGTGAGGTAATTTATTGTTACCTGCTTTCCAATGTTTTACAGCAAGAAATAGTTTATCAGTTATGTGCATCATCACTAATCTCCCAGAAGTAGAGCTTTTATGGGATGCAGTATAAACTTACGGCTTTCCTTTTTTAAGGAAATAATTAAAAATAGCTTTATTTCAGTTTTATTTTTTTAATATAAAATCTGATAGACCACATTGACTTGTAAAATGTTCTGGAAAGAGTGTACCCTGGTAGTAGCACAATTCTCTGATGTTATAGTGACTTTTTCAACAACATAAGCAAATTCATCTCCTATTGGTACCTGCTCAGGTAAATGGTAATTCCTCCCCCCCGCCCCACTTTGTTTTTGAGGAGTCTCGGTGTGTCACCAGGCTGGAGTGCAGTGGTGCGATCTTGGAAGTTCATTGCAACCTCCACCTCCCCCATTCGAGCGATTCTCTTGCCTAGCCTCCCAAGCAGCTGAGACTACAGGCACATGCCACCAGGCTCAGCTTAATTTTTTTTTTATTTTTAGTAGAGACAGTTTCACCATGTTGGCCAGGATGGTCTCAATCTCCTGACCTCGTGATCTGCGTACCTCTGACTCCCAAAGTGCTGGGATTACAGGCATGAGCCACCACACCTGGCCGGTAAATGATAATTCTTTACCATGCTATTCTTGTGTTTATTCTTGGTGCTTTGGTCTACCTTGTGTTAAGAGTCTCAAAAGCATCCTAGAGTATGACTCCTTTTCTGGATCAACATAACTAGTAGGGAGCAACTGTGGTGGCATGCTGTCTACATATTGCTGTGCCACTGGAGTCCAGAAGGAGTAAAAAGTCACCCGATACAAATATTTCTTCCCCAGGGACAGAAGGGCAGCACTCAAAGTCTAGGGGTAGGAAATAGTGCTGGGAAAAATCACATCAGCCAAATCCTTTGAATTCTGTCAGTAGCACCATGGACCTCCTTCCAGTGAAAATGTTTAAGGTGTGCTTGCCTTAGCAGCACATACTAAAAACTGGAATGATACAGAGAAGATTAGCATGGCCCCTGTGCAAGATGACATGCAGTTTGTGAAGCATTCTGTAATTTTTAAAAATTATTATTAAAGGTCTCCATGCTGAGGCATAGAGACTCAGCAGATGTCATAGAGAAGTGATAAATGGTACAGCTGAGCACTGGAATTGGTACCCTAGTTGTTCCAGACCTCAGGATTTTGACCTTAGTAACTTAATAGTTTCAAGTCATTTTGCTTAATTGATGGCTTGCCATTTCATGATAAGAGGAGGAGAAGATGACTATTTGGTTATGGAGCAATGACCAGCAAGAGAATGTAATTCAGTAAAGGTGCTGAGTCAATTTATCTCTTCTTAGGAATGAGCTGTACTGTATTCAAATGGGCTACTTGATGGTTCATTCCCTCCATTCTGCTGCTGCTCATTTTCTCCCTTTTCTTGCTTATATAGTAGATACGCTTGTAACCTGGACTTAAAACTCTTAGACTGAAGTCCCTTCACTGCTGTCTTTAGTCCCAGCCTCCTAATGGGTGGGAATAGTTCATACATAGCTTTTGGTTAGTGAATAAGACTAATCAAAAGCTGGGTGTGGCGGTTCACACCAGCACTGGTGGGAGGATCACTTGAGCCCAGGAATTGAGATGAGCCTAAGTAATGTAGTGAGACCCTGTCTCTTAAAAAAAGTCTTGCTCTTCGAGTTTGTGCTTCATATCAAATAATAACCACATTGTGCTACCACAGGTCACACAGTGGGAATGATTTAAGGTTACTTGCTCTGCCGCCCAGGCTGGAGTACAGTGGTACAGTCAGCTCACTGCAACCTCGACTTCTGGGCTCAAGCACTCCTGCCTCAGCCTATTAAGTCTTTTATTTTTTGTAGAGATGGGTTGGTCATTGGGGGCGGTGGAGGGGTGGTTTCACTGTGTGGCTCAGGCTGGTCTTGAACTCTGGGGCTCAAGCGATGTGCCTGCCTTGGCCTCTCAAAGTGCTGGGATTACAGGTTGTGAGCCACTGCGCCTGGCCCTGGCTTCTTAAAAGTTTTTAAATCACACCAAATGGTACTGGTGCTGCCGCTGCTGCTGCTGATTGCCTTGATTTTTCTTTGATCCCACTTGGAAGTTTGTTAATGCCACACTCCACTGTACTCCACACATTAGATTGCAGTGGGGGATGGAGGGTGGCACAGCCTTTATACATACCTCCCTTCTGTGGTTTGGCCTCTGGGACCAGCAGGGTCCCTGTGCTGTAATTGTCTGAAGTGATGGACATAATGCAACTACTGATTAGTGATGGTAGATATGTTGCCTTACTTTTATGACCATTGAATTGACAGATTGGAATTGGAAACACCTGTCACCTCCAAGCTTTTAAGAGAACTTCACATGGATATACAGCTTAGCCGGAGTTTAAGAGTTTTAAGTTACACAACTAAGTGCTTGGTTGTGCTTGTAGTAGGTACGTTCCTGTACCACAGGAACCAGGTAGAGGCTTTCTTGGTCATTTGCTAAGTCATGGTTAGACAGGAACAAGTGTAAACTAGTCTGTGGTTGCAGTGTAATTTCCTTTTGTTGAAATTCCTTTGCTTTCTCGGCTTCCCTAACATGTAATTTCTGAAGACTCATCTTGAGCTCTCCTCAGTGTCCCAAATGAATTTATTCCAGTGAGGGGTAAGTGGCTTGCATTATTAACAATAGGTAGGTTTCTTTTCCAAGAGCTCTGGTCTGCTTTTGTGCTGTAGGCAATACACACTCCTTTTGTGCACACTGTAGATGCACAGGTATTTGGTGAAGCCTCAGTCCTGGAGATGATCAGGAAGGTGGTATAGTACTGTTGTCTCAGACACCGCTAGGTGATAGGCATTAAAAGAATGTAGATTTCTGCCGGGAGGGATGGGGGCAGAATTGACTACCTTGTAGATGTCCTTTGAAAATTTTGATACAGATCACATTTTTAAGAGGTGAATTCTACCTTATACGCACTTATGTATGCTTGCTACTTAAAATTTATTCCTTTGATCAAGTCCTGTAAATGTGGAGTCCAGCATTTCCTCCCTTCCTGCCCCAGCAATCAGACAAATAGAATTATTTTCCATCTGTGTGCAAGGCTAGTTAGCATAGATCATGAGGAGAGACCGTGTGAGTCTCAGTGCTCTTGTAAAGGTGGGTAGATTTCAGATTGGGGTGAATTACAAAATGTGAACTCTTGCTAAAATGGGTGGATATAGAAATAATATTCTCAGAATCGGGTTATGGTTCCGTCAGTTATGTGACTGAGGACAGGTTGTTTCCCTCTGGCCTCAATGTTTCTTTTACAATATGGGATTGAATTAGATAATCTTGTGTCCAGTTTGATGCTTCTGTGATTATATAAACCTAGACTTTGGATTCCTGGAAATCTGTACTGAGTTTGGACCTTAAACTAAAGAGACCAGGAATGGAACTCCAAATTTTGATCTGGCTACTGCTCTCCTGGTTTTTCTAGTGTGGTAGTGATTCCATACTGCAGCTTGAGAACTTCAAAGGGGAAGAGTCTTCATTTCTTCTTTTGGGGGCTGACCCTGTCCTGGTAGTTATATCCTGGAGCAGGTAGACCAGAGGCATTTCTTCTGGATCCATTCCTCCTTAGTCCCATATACCAAGAAGGAGTTAACGATACTGCAGAAGGACCCAAAGGTACACTTCCCTGTTTGTGAGCACCGAAAGGGACAGTTGACACACACTGGGTACTTACTGTGCCAGGCAGGGAATACTTTCCATAACTGTCCTCATGAGTTGACATTATTATCCCTACTGTACAGGTGGGGTAATCCAGGCAAAGAAAAATAGTAAGGGGGTAAGCAAAGATGTTTAAATCATGGATGCCTGTATGACTCCAGAGGTAGAAACCCTCCCTCAACTATTCCCAGTCCCTCCCTAACTTTTGGGGAAAGCGGGAGGCCACTGGCAGCAGTCTTCTGTCATGCATTCTGAGCTGCTGGGTTAGGAGCTCTGCCCTGATCCTAATGCCTTTTCAGTTTGCCAACTCCAACTATAGTGTGGAGGGGCCTTACCTATTGGTGAGGCTTCTTGGCCTCCACAGTCAAGCGTATGATTGCTGTGGGGACCTGAACTTATTTTGTTGTTTTTTGTCTGTTTTTGGCTTTTTGTTTGTATTTTGTTTTTGAGACAGAGTCTCACTCTTGTTGCACAGGCTACAGTGTAGTGGCGCAATCTCAGCTTACTGCAACCTCCATCTCCTGGGTTCAAGCAGCTCTCCTGCCTCAGCCTTCCAAGTAGCTGGGAATTACAGGTGCGCACCACCATACCCGGCTAATTTTTATATTTTTAGTAGAGACAGGGTTTCACCATGTTGGTCAGTCTGGTCTTGAACTCCTGACCTCAGGTAATCCAGCCTCCCAAAGTGCTAGGATTACAGGTGTGAGCCACCACGCCCAGCCTGAACTTACTTTGAAGCAGTTGTGTGAAGGTTTTGTGTTAGCATGTTCAGAGTCTGTGGGGAGAGGAAAACGCCCACTCCACTATAGTCCTATCCTGCTTTTGAGAGCCTGTTTGGAGGTTCTAGCAGGAGAGTGCAGCTACTAGCATACTTTTGACCAAAGACCAGTCCTTCTCTATCAGGAATGGTCATCCTCTTGGACTGAGCGTGCAGTTCAGGAGGGACACACGTGGAGTGGTGAGGGAGGAAGGGGACACCACTTAACCAGATCAGCCAAATCAACCCTGGTGACCAATGGGGTGACAGATGTCACAGCCAGATCGTCCTCACCTCCCTATCCTGCTTTTGAAGACCATGCATTCCTCCTCAGTTTGCTTCCTTCTCCATATCCAATTTTGTCCTCAAGTTAGGTTCTTTTTGAAGAGTTAAGATGTATGCTGGTTAGATTTGTTCAACTTTTGGATAAGCCTTTGGGGATGTTGGAGTTAGATTAGTAGCTTCTGGTTTTTTGTTTTTTCTTGGTTTTTGTTTTTGACCTTCACCCAATACAGCAAAGTGGGAAACCCTGTGGCCATTTTCTTTTCCATATTTTCACACTTTTTAGTTTTTGTGTGCACCTCTTAAGTTTTGTAGTGTTGCCAAGTACTTTGTGTCAGCCTGACTCCTTAGTAGTATATGGATCTAAACCAAATTTATTGTTGAAAATTTCAGTTTATGAGCACCATTCAGTAGCCCTTAGTCATATGTATGAATAAGGAATATGTAGTTTTATAGAAAGGATTTGTATTTTTGGTTCAGTTTATGACCTATGAGGAATATCCTTAGGGCTGCTGATTTAAATTTGGAGAATCCCCAAGTTAGAAAAGCAGGGATAAGAAAATTTGTCTACCTTCTCCATGTCCTTTGATGAGGCCAAGAAGGAAAAGAAGAGTGATGGTGGTTGGTGTAGTCTTTTCAGTCTTATGGGAAAAAATATTCAATGGATGGTCTTTTGTAAGCTTGTGGAGGATTTTCTGATTGGCTTTCAAGACTTGATCCTGCATCTGTGAGTGGATCCAGCATGCCAAGGTAGGCAACAGGAGTGTGAGCATGACGTTGGTTTGTTAAAGGAGTGACCCTGCCACCCAGACACTTCAGCCCTCTATTCCACCTTCTTGCAGCCTCTCTGTGTAACTTTTGGTCATTACCTAGGGTGGATAAGGAATTGGGAATTGCAGGCTGGTGCCTTTCCTGGTTAGGACTTTGGAAGTGGAAGAGGGAAATGTTAAGGACTGTTGAATGAATTTCAGCTCATTTGGCACTGAATTGGAGCCCACGGGACTCAGGAAGAATCTGTTCTTGGATTTATGAATAGGAAAGTTAGAACTTCTTAAGGCAGGGGAAGGTGGCCTTAGAAAATGAGGGGCAAGTTACTCCCTTGTAGCAGAGGATGGGATTCCCTATCAACAGTAATACGCTGGTAAACCGGTTGACAGGGGGAAGGAAGCCATGAGTTTTTGCAATTGCCCAATTTCTATAGTTTTGAACTTACCAAGCCCATCTACTTACACAATTTCCTAATATGTAACAGTTGGCTCTTGCAAGCCACACAAACTTGCGCCAGCACACTGCCACAAACATCCCTCAAGTATTTGAATTCCGAGTATGTGTGCAGGTATATGCTGTGTGGCAAGAGATGCCGAAACAGCGTTTATTCTGAAGATCTTTGTCATTTAACTGACAGGCAAGAAGCTGGAAAAACATCGACAGAATATGGTTGTGTGGCATGAATTGAATATAGTAGTCCAGAGTAAGAAGTTGAGTGCTGGAAAGATGTGAAAAGGGGAGCATATGTAAGCTAGGCTTGAAGGATAATGATAATCGCTAACACATGGTCATAGCAGTGCCAGACTCTGTACTAAGCACCATGCATACATTATTTATATTAATCTTCAGAAATAGATACTATCCCCCACTTTACACCTGAGGAACTTGAGGTTTACTGAGATTAAGTATTTTGCCCAAGTTATATAGATACAACATCAATTTAGTATTGTAGTAAGTCATTATTGTGGCTAGGAAGAAGTAAGGCCAGTATCTGGAGCCTGGTCACGTCACTGCAGAACCCACACTCTTGCCCCCTGCATCAAATTGCAATTAAATATAAAAAGGGGGGTTCTTCAAGGAGAGAAAAAGTCTTAACAGTCCAAGGTTCAAGATTAGATGGGGCTGGGCACGGTGGCTCACGCCTGTAATCCTAGCACTTTGGGAGACTGAGATGGGTGGATCACCTGAGGTCAGGAGTTCAAGACCAGCCTGGCCATCATGGTGAAACTCCATCTTAAAAAAAGAAAAAAAAAAAAAAAGATTAGATGGGAATCAGAATATTTGAGTTCTAGTCTCCATTTCATTTGGCCTTAGCCAAACCACATCTTCCCTCTATGCCTTAGATTGAGAGACTTGAATCAGATGATCATTCAGTTCTTTTTTATTTCTGACATATTTGTGAATTTAAGTTAGAAAAATGGGAATGAATGTGTCTTCTTTAAGTGACAGTGAGAGAATGTCCCCTACCAGAATACATTGAGGTTGGCAGAAAGAGTAAACTGAAGAAAACAAACTGTAAAGGCTGTCTCCCAAGTGGTAGAAGCACAGACTCAGCTATCCATTTGCCACACCTGACTAGTTCCAAATGGAAGGTTGAGGGGGTGGGGACACAGAAAGATGATAAAACTGGTGTTTGATGTTAGATATTCCTAGAAAGCCTGCGTCTCTCTCGGTGGCCCAGCAGCAGGTCAGAGCTAGATTTGGGTCATTTCTGAGGATCCTTGAGTTATCGCTTGTTTCTTAGCATTCATAAATTTGACAGATATTAATAGGCCACCTGCTGTGTGCCAGGTGTTGGCACAGAAGCAAGGCTAGTCTGGTCCCTCTGTTTATTGAAGTTACAGTCCCAAGAGGGAAATACATAATAAGCAAGTTGCACATTTTGATAGGATTATAAGAATTGGGGGTTTTGTTGGATTAGAGTCAGGGAATGTCTGTGACTTCAACATAATGGATAGGACGTAACTGAGAGTGGAAATGGTGAAACCAGTTAGACTATTTCATCCAGCCAAGATGTGCTGGGCAATGAAAGAATGCACAAACATCTGGCGGGTCCTACCAGACCTCTCACAAAAATGATACAATTTTTGACTTCTTTTTATTGACTCAAATGTGATATTTAATATGGTTCTGTAAGATTTTGGTC